TATATATATATATATATATAATGTTTTTTCCGAAGCGGGCGACGAGATTCCGATTTCAACGGCGAACCAGCTTCCAACGAGCAACTCCTTAACTAAAATTGTGCGGACATCTCTATCTTATTCTTCTCTTATGGACTGTTATATCTCTGTAAGAACAATGTAAAAACATTTTTGATGTACAACAACAAAGATATTTGTATACTAATTATAAGCTAGTTTTCCATTTTTACAAGTTAGAATTTAAATAATCTTTTTTCTTGATTGGCGAACCAAAATTCACAGCGTGGCTCAAACTTTTCATATTGAATAAATAACATTCAACCAACAATTGTGCCAAATATTCTTTCACTTAATCCAAAAAATATATGATAAAATAATGAAAATTTATTAAAAAAATATTTTTCATGATTAAATAAATTAAGCTAATAATAAATTGTATTTCTATTACAAAAAAGGCCAAGCTCTATTTCTTTTCTTTTTTTTAATGTGCATTGTATTTGAAAATTCGAAAGCCCAAAAATAGGTCCAAGTGCCGAAAGTAATTAATTGAATTAAAATAAAAATATTAAGTTAATATTTTGTGACTTTACCATAAAACCTTTGCCTTAGAACTATCTAGAAATTAGTATTAAACCTTCCAAGCTTTTAATTACTGACTATCATATCCTTCTTGATAAAATTTACTATTGGTTAGCTAGATAGAAGAAAAAGGTTGAATCTTCCACTAGAAAACTTCAGCTCATTAAATTTATTATTTGGAGTTATTTATATTATCTGCCTCAAGGTTTGCGTAAGAAAATTACTTCTATGATATTTAATTTTCTTCAAAATTATGAAAAGGGTGAAAAACTTCTTATTATTGCTTGGAATAAATTCAATATGCCTAAGATTTGTGGTGGTATTAGTCTCCCCTCATTAGATACTATCCATATTATGTAAAAGACTAAAATTATTTGGAAATTTTATAATTTTCATTTTATTTTATCTAATTGGTGTTTAAAACATTATACTTCTATCTGGAAGACCATTTTTTCTAAAATCTCTTTTTTTGGAAAGATTTAGTTAATGTGGCTAAAAGAATCAAACCTTCTTTAACTTTTAAAGTTACTGCAAATAGGGATTTACTATTCTTTTATGACCCTTGGTTTAATGGCCTATCTTTAAAGGAAAGATTTGGAGATATTATCTTTAGTTGGTTCCATCTTCATTATCAAGCTAAAATTTGTGATGTTATAAGAAACTTCAGGTGGAATTTGAAAATTTTTAACAATGCTCCTGTTTATGTTATAAATGAATTTGAGAATATTCCTATTTCTCAATGTATTTCTTGACTTTGAAAGAATGAGAACAATTACTGTCATAAACTTGTTTATCATTTCTTATATGAATTTTTTCCTAATGTTGTCTGGTTTAAGCTTATATGGTTTAGATGCAATGCTATTAAACTTGCTTTCTTTGCTTGAAATATTTTTCATAAAGGTCTTAAAACTTATGATATCATTAATCTTTGTGGCCTTAAAATTCATTATCATGTGTTCTTTGTTCAAATAGCTTTGAGAACCATGACCATCTTTTCTTTGAATGCCCAATCTTCCATTATCCCCTTAATAAATGTGTTCCTTATAGTAGTTTTTTTATGGCTCCTTCGAACTTCTCTCAGATTTTACATCATTTCAATAATATTTCATTCCAAATTCAAAAAAGATCTTATCTTCTTTCTTTGCAAATTAGTGCCTATTATATTTGGAATGAAAGGAGTACTAGAATCTCTGATTATAAATCTACTCATATCAAGTCCATTATTTGCAAGATTTATTGGATTATTATTTTTAAAAGTTGGTATTTTAAATTTAAAAGAATATACCTAGTAATATTATTGATTTTTATGGTATTCTGAATAACTAGCTATTTTTTATTGTGGTTTTCTTCTTTACGGTTTTTCATCTTGAGTTGTGTTTTTGGTGATATTTCGTCTGCACAGGTTCCTTTGGTTATGTTGCATTTATTTTTTATATCTTCAAGTATTGTTGCTTTGTGATGGCTGGTTTGGAGGAGCTTTAAGTGGTTTGATGCCTTCTGTATTCTTTATTTTTCTGGTAGTTTTTGTTCCATTGGTTTTGACATTTTTCTCTATTTTGTTGCTTGTTAAATGCAGTTATCTAAAGTTGGTTCTTTCAACTAACATGGCGAAGCCTTTGATGGTGGTTGATAGATTTTTATTTTTTCTACTAATTTAGATGTGAGTTATACTTGACTTACTCTTCTAAAGTTCAATCTAGTTGAGTTATGATGAACTCCAACATTATATTAAATTTCAACAAATCTTTTGAATATATTTACTTTTTAGCTTATGGAAGGTAATTTAATATTTATGCAGGTAGGTTTTGAGCTCTTTTGTCTCTAATATCTCTTTTTATTTCTTCTTTAATTTGTTCTCTTGTGTTTTTATTAGTTGCTTCTTTTGCTCTCTAATATTTAGCAAGATGGCAGTTCTTTCTATGTCTTTCTTCCTTAGTGTTTGCTATTGCAGGTGTTGTTGTTGTGAAGGAGTTGTTGGTGACTAATCATGTTGGTGGCTTTGAGATATTTGGTTCTTAATTTTCTTGTTGATGTTGCTGATTGAGTAATGTTCCATTTGTTGCGGCTAGGTGTTTCTACTAGTTGGTTAGGCCTAGTTTTTTCTTGTTGTTATTGCTGGTGGAGTAATGTTCCCATAGTTTTTCTAGGTGTTTAAGCTAGCTAATTAGGCCTAAGTGTTACTTTGTTCTTTTTTGTTCACTAGGTTTGTTGTGGCGTCTCTTTGTCTTTGTGTTTGCCCTTTTTCTTATATGTGTGAGTTGTAATTGAGATTTCTGGTTTTAGCTCACCATACTTTTTCAATTTCCTTTGGCGCTTTGTTTGGTGATGTTAGATTTGACAGCTATGTTTTTATTTTGCTATCGAGATATTGGAGCTATTCTCTGATGCGAATTATGGCGCTGCAATTGGATTTGAGTTGGTGCATAATGGAATGACTCTATTATATCTGCTATTGGACTTTTGAGATTTCTGATCTTTTGAACCTTCGTATTATTTGATAGGTTTTCAGTTCAATTTTAGTGGCTTATGCTCTTTTACTTTATTTTATTTAGTTGTAATTTAATATTCAACTTATTTCTTATTTCTTTGTAATAAAAGTTTGGTGTAAATAAATAAATAAATAAATGATAAAAATTTCTAGTACTTGTATTTTAGTTAGAGGTTCAACAATTTAATCACCACTTTGTCCTGTTTTTCTTAAATGTCGTTGCTAACTAATGGGTTGCTCTTTTTATGGAGGCCCATACTAATAATCATATAGATCTCTACGGACAAAAGGGAGGCCCGTTAACCCAATTCCCCAATAGATCCAGCTAAGGGTGTAAACGAGCGGAACACGAGCGATCCATGCTCAGCTCGTGTTCGGCTTGTTTATATCTCAAGCTCAAAAAGTATGTTCGTGTTCAGCTCGTTTGCTTAACGAGCCAAACAGGCGATGGTACATAATTTACTTTATTTAATGCAAATTAAATCAAAGTTTATTTAATTTTATATTATATTTTAAATATATTTAAACAAAACGGATGAAAACAGGCGGTAATACATAGTAGCGAGAAACGAATGGAGAACTTTATTAGCGGGAGATAGTGCACGGGGGACGTTGAATGGGAGGCAAATGCGAGCGACTACATTGAATAACAATAATAACGACAACTAAGAATTCTTCGACTTTGAAGTCCCATAAAGCCTCAATTTGTCTGCAGATAAATTTTCTTAATTAATCATCGAGAAATCAACCCTTTCTCGAGCTTCGTATTGAGTTTATTAAGTGCCCTCAACAACTAATTACATCACATCTTCTTTGAGTAACACTGACAAATCATCCATCCATTCGCCTACAAATTAGGGGTTTATTCTTTATGAGTTCGCTCTAACTATACAATTTTTTTCTATAACTCGCATGAAATTCCCAATTGCCAGTTAATTATAAACCAAACTCGACTGTCATATAATTATGATTACTTCTTATGTCACACTACAACATAAACACTAAAGAATAAAACAAAAAAAGTGCATAAACTCACAAAAATAAGATTGATGAAAGAAAATTCAATGATCACATATAGCCTAAAAATACAAATCTTAAGCCACAAACTTAGGATTGGTAGATGCAAATTTCACAAGGAAGATGTTGGCTACTATCTAATTGAACAACCAAACATACAAACTTATAATGATTTTCATCATAAATGCATTTTATTTGGAGTAACATAATTGGGGATATAACTTAGTTTCCCCAAATGATGAATACTGTCGAAAGAAATACTAATTGAAGGACCATATCAATCTCCCCAATGAAGCTCCTCTCGGTCTTGTTATTGCCACTGGGGCTAGAAGCAGTCACATTGCTTGTCGTATCAAAATTATTGCTCGAATTCTTCTTAGCTACATTTGAATGATAAACGAAAATTAAAATGAAAATAATAATAATAAAATTGAAAAACCATATACATGTTATCATTTTGAAATCAAATATATATATATATATATACGTTTTAGTTATAGTAGAAAACATATGATTATATGGGTTGAAAATGTATTGACTTTATATGTGCTTAAATTTTAATATTTTGTTGAAAAATATTACTAATTAGTGCACTTAATTTAGAATTATTTAAATAATTTTAAAATTCATTATGCTCAAATTTTCTCCATATATCTAGCCCTCACTTGTCAATGCCTTCGTTATTAAAGTAATAAAATAACTTAAATTTAAAATTGCTTATATGTATTTATGTATGTATATATGTATATGTATGTATATGTATGTATGTATGTATGTATGTATGTATATATGTATGCATGCTTGTATATGTATGTGTGTGTGTGTCTATATATATATTTGGGTTTGAGTCGATATTTTATGAATTTGGGTTTGAGTCGAAGATAGATTTGATAGAATTGAATCCAATTCATTCAATCTCAATTTTAATAATGTTTATGACAAGTTAATTAGATTCTAGCTCAATTAATTAACCATACAAATTTTCATCTTATTTTGATTCAAAATCAATTCTTAATCTCAAATGCATACAATTTGCAAGCAAATTTGCACATGAATATATTTTTATATATCCATCTTATTTTAAAAATAATAATTGTATTTATGATTATGTTATGCAACTAGATATGAAGATGTATAATTCATGACCACAAAGCTCATAAAAAATATAAAATAAGAAAGAAATTATCATAAAAGAATATTAACCAAAAAGCAATAATATCCCAAAAAAAAATACTTTGTTTATTAAAGAAAAATGGTTATAAAAACACCAATATTTCTTTTAATTGAAGCATTGTGGACCAAATGAATTGCCTAAGGAATGAGGCATTGAGGACCATCATTGAACACTTGTGGATCAAATTATAGTCCTTTTATTGGCACTATGTGGTTCAACTTCATGCTCTTATCACAGGCATGTGAAAGCAACCTTTTGATTTTAATGCACACTTAATAGCCTCTAGAAGATGATAGAATGTAGTCCTATGTTTTATTTGCTTATATAGCAACCATGAATAATATATAAAATAAAATAATTTAAAAAATAATATTATTATTATTTTCCTGGTCTATTAAAGTTCATTATATGATGTGCATACAAGTTAGTCACATCTGAATTTCAGGAGATATGATGCTGATACATGTGCATGTTCTATGAATTATTGGCCATATATTACAAATATCATGTATGGGGTTTATATTTTTTCAAGGAAATTTACATATATTACACACAATAATTATGTTTTTACATGTCTAACATTTAAGGTTTGATATTTATATTTATAATATCTTAGTGTTATAAACTTACACATGAAAATATATATTTTACTTCTAAAAAGTTTATTATAATGATATTTTTTATATGATATTAAAAATTTTAAGTGATTTACTTGTAAACATTAAAGTTAAGGTATTATGTATGCAAATATATAAGAATTGTATTGTATGTATGTAAATTTCTCTCTCTCTCTCTCTCTCTCTCTCTCTCTCTGTGTGTGTGTGTTGTCTCTCTCTCTGTACTAATATGTCCCCCATAATAAATAAATATCACTTAAACCTTCCCTCCATAATAGTTAACATGACATTTGACCTACTTGTCTCCTACCTATCATTAATAGAAAGATTTACATACATACCCCTCAATTCTTATGTCTTTTACATATCTAACCCCTAAACTTCAATTTTTACATACATGTCATCTTACCTATGCTTGCAAAGGTGCATATTATTTTTAAAGGACTTCTTCTTAAAGTAAAAAAATAATGTAAAAGTAAACTTTAGGGGTTAGAAATGTAAATAAATAAGAATTGGGGGGTATGTATGTAAATGACTCATATTAATATCCTTCTAACAAATCTTTGCAATGAATAATAAATAAATAAATTATTATTTATTTATTTATACCTTTAGTACTTTGATCAATCTGTTTCTCTAGCTGGTCAAACTCTTGCGCTGCTGGCGAGCCTGGTGGAAGCTTAAGCAACTCTGAAATTTATTAAAATTTATAAAATCAATTAGAGGAAATTAATTTATTAAAAAAAAATTACAATAATTGCCCACGAGACAATATTACATCAGGACTCCCAACGCAGTTTGCGTTCCGAGTCCAATGGTGGGGCGACACATGTCAAATGGGCCCCACTGTACTACACTGGTATTAACCGGTGTTAAAAATGGTGGAACCCACTTGACACGTGGTGCTCCACCATTAAACTCCGAATGCATCAGGAGTCATGATATAATATTTTTCCAATAAATTTGCAATTCTAAACAAAATTAATTTTACATCTGATCTTGTGCGCCACATGTTGAACATTTAATAAAATGCAATAAATAAAAGGGATGGAGTTAGTCATACGCAAATATTTAATAAATATTTCTTCAATTATTTTTTTTTATGATATTAAAATAGAAATAATAAAAAATAAATAATGTAATAATGACATTTCATTCCATATATATGCAAATATTGCATAAAAATGGGGAATGGTTTTCCCTGTTTGATTAAAAAATTATTTGTGAATATATAAATTAAAAAAATCATCAATTTTAATTATAATTTAATAATCGAATTGTATAAATACAATATTTATTATTATTATTATTTATATAAATAAACTTAAGCTTATATTTAAAAAAAATGAATGAATAAAAAAAAGAACAATTATATATATAATTTTATATTCATACAATCAATCTAAAAAGTATTTTAAAAGGAGGTGTGGGGCCCACATGCCTCTCTTGTGCCCTCTTACATCCGTCAATGTCTTTTTTACATATTCTTTTATTAGATAAACAAATTGATATTTCCAATTAAATTAAGGGCCCGAGCAGCTTATTTGGTGCGGTGGCGTTTTGAAAGCGCACCTGACATATTTGATTAAACTGCGTTTTGGCAGCTTATGAGTTTTCAAAACGCAGAAAATAACGTTTTCACACCGCACCAATCTAGGTGCGAATCTAGGTGCGGTGACAGCTTAGGTGCGGTGACAGCTTATTGGCAACAGTGTGACGTTTCCAAAAAAAATAAAAATTTATGTTTTCAAAATGCAGAAAACAACGTTTTCACACCGCACAAATCTAGGTGCGGTGACAGCTTATTGGCAACAGTCTGACATTTTCAAAAAAATAAAAATTTGTAATAGTCACCGCACCTAGCTTATCAACAGATTATTTTTAATCAGCTTATCAGCAGATTATTCAATAAGTTATAGCTACCCCAAACACACCCTAAATTACATGCATAAAAAAAATACACTTGTTTTTATAAATTAATGCTAACAAATCAGAAAATAATTTTTCTATAAATACAAAAAAAAAAAAATTTACGTGAATGCCACACAATTTATACGTAGTTATATATCTACCACCTATATTTACATGCAGACCACCAAATTTTTAACATCACATAAAAAAAATATCGCCATCTATACCCTTTCATGCATAGGCATGTAAATATCAAATTTCGACTATTAGATATGTAAATACAAAAGATTTGTGTTGTACGTGTAAATTTCCTAAGAAAATATTTTACATCAATTTTTTTTATGTTGTTTGGGTAAACTGCGTTTTGATAGCTTATGTGTTTTTAAAATCCTGAAAAACAGCGTTTTCACACCGCATGTGTCTAGGGGTGGTGACAGCTTTCTGGTAGCGGTTTGACTTTTCAAAATAAAAATAAAAATTTATGATAGTCATCGCACCTAGCTTATCAGCATATTATTTTTAATCAACAGATTATTTAATAAACTGCAGTCGGCTCAAACAGACCCTAATTTAACCCTGACAAGTCTAAATAAATCCGTCCCACAGTTCAAAAATATCACTCGAGTGCAAAATTTTATAATTACCAATATTTCAGTTGCTATGTATATAATTAATCTTAAAATAATGCAACTTTAATTTATCAAATCCATCCCACAATAAATAAATAAATCCAATTTATAAAAAAAAAAAAAAGGCGAAAACATTACTGGGGCATTCGGAGATATTAGCGGCGACGTTACAGAGTCCGGGCATGGTAACGGCGCGAGTAACGTTGATTTTGAAACCGAGTCCCGGCTCGTTGCGGTCCTTCACGAGCACGCAGAGGCACTTGAAGCTCTTCACCACCACCGTCTTCGCGTTCGCGCAGCAATCCGGAGTCGGAAAGCGCGCCTCGTTCTCCACGAAGGCCAAACACGGAAGCAGCGCCGTCAGCTGCTCCGTGCACTCCGTTTGGTCGCTGGCGAAGTCGCAGCGAGCGCGCGCCGCCGCGAGTAGAACCAGCGCCACCGCAACAAAGCTCGCCGGAGACATGGAGGAGTAGAGGTTGGCGTCTTGTTAACCTGTTTGGCCGTGATTTGCCTCTGCGTTGGGGAGTCGCGGTTCGCGGTATTTATAGGCGCATAAGTTTTATGTATTTATATATCTAAACGCTAAAATTCGAAATTTACCAGATTTGGGGCATTTACATAAATAGCACATAATTTTAATGTATTTACATATCTGGCGTGTAAGCTTTTATATTCACACACATAACATTCAAATTTTTTAATATTGTAAAAGAAAAAAGAAGTTGTTACTATTTTTTAAAAACCTTGGCATTGCATCGGAACTTAAAACACGATCAGATAGGAAATGACAGAGAGAAATACTAGAATATTTTTATGTGAAAAACCCGGAAAAGAAGAAAGCAGCGGGGCTTGGCTCAGTTAAAGAAATTCACAATAAACTGACAATTATAGGTATAATCCTTTGTCCAATTAAAGGGAAATAGTTACACAACATCCCAATTTTACAATGTCAGTGTGTGGAAGGCCTTGTAGCTCAACGATCGAGAGCGGTCGCAAAGAGGAGCAATAGTCGTGGCTTCAATGCACCGTCTTCAGGGCCGAAACGATGTCTGGGATGATAGTATCGCTTCGTAGGTTGTTTCGTATGGTGCTTCAGTTCAAGGACTAGACAACAGCTGATGATGGTTAACATTGGCCGGCCATGGTGGTTGTCAAAGGCGATGGTTGTCGGTGTTGGTCGGAGGCAACGAAGGCCCGAGTTGGCTAGAGGCGATGACGACATGAGTTGGTCAGAGGTGGCAACGACCAAATTTGGCTAGAGAGAGGCGGTGATCAAAGCTATCGGGATGCCAGAGTTGGATAGAGGGAGGTGGATCGTCGAAGCAGAAGTGATGCGGGACTTCAGCTCCTTCTCCAAGCTTTGGTCTTTTTCAAGCTTCAAGCTCCATGTTCCCTCTCAAGAGGGGAGTAGAGCTCTATTTATAGAGCCCCAGTTGCAATTAATGAAAGGATCCAAATTAATCTGATCGACAGACCCAGAGAGAGATTCCCGTAATCGTATGACATTTGATTGACATATGGGTGTCTTAACGATGTCAGAACCGATTGATCTTAAGCTTGATGGACTTGACTTACGAGAGGCTCGATTCGACAATAAGCTCGTCAAATTTAGTATTTGTTTGACCTTCCAAATGTGTCAAGAAAACTTGAAGAAGTGGTTTATTGACTTTATTTGTGCTTAACTTTTCTTGGATCAGATCAATTTGGTACCGTTGGGCCTGCCTCGTCGAGCCGGTCAGTTTAACTGTAAGTTTGTTGAAATTGATGCTTCGGGTGAATTTTAATCAAAGTTTGAATGTTTCTTACTTGAAAGATCGCCTTGAGATCCTTGTCATGCTTTAAGATTCAAGTCGGATGGAGAATTTACCGACAAAGTATCAGTTGCCCTCTATTTTAGAGCGGAATTAATATCATCATCCAAAAATATCACAATTCCTAGCATTTTATTTTTATTGTTGTGTTATCATTTATATGTCGGCGGAGCTTGAGAGTGCCCTTCACTTGTTTGTGTTCCATTTGATTTTTTTTTTTGGTTTGAAATAGACTCATGAATAATAAATTTGTGTTTGACTCGATTCAAGTTCATTTATTCGGCTCAACTCATGTTCAGCTCAAAAGTAACTTGAATAATTTCAAAAATTATAAATTTAATATTTTTTAAAACAATAAAAAAATATTATAAAAAAATATTTATCCAATTATTCAATTAATTTGAGCTAAAATAAGCTGAACACAATCAAATAAAAGCTATTCCAATTGTTTATAAATCAAGCTTCAAAAAATTGTTCATGTTCGACTTACTTGCATAACAAATGAGTCGAACATGAGCTGCTAATTGAGTTGAACACGTGCTCTCCATGAAAGACGAGTTTTTTTTGACAACTCTAAAATTATGTATTGCTTGGAATCTTATGAGCTTGAGAAATTGAACAAGCAAATTTCCAGCTCATTTAAATTCATTCAATAAATAATAATAATGGAAAAAAAGATTCATTAGACAAAAAACTAATAAAAACTCAAATTCTTTGAAATAATAAGTGGATGACAAAATTATTTTATTTCACTGAACTTATCTAATGACTGAGGGAGAGTTCGTTTCAGCTATGGCTGTACGAAATCTCTGATCAAAAGATGTCGTGGAAAATCTACTGTTAAAAAAATGGTGTTTCAAAAATAGTTAGGGGTGTAAGCGAGCCGAACAAGAGCGGGCCCAGGCTCAGCTCGTGTTCAGCTCATTTATATTTCGAGCTCAAAAGGTGTGTTCGTGTTCGGCTCGTTTACTTAGCGAGCCGAACACGAGTCGGAACAAAAAGTCGTGTTGACGAAGACGAGCATTAGTTGCATATAAATCGGCAAAAGATGCTCAAATTCTCAAAGCTAAGAAACAAAGAATGCAAATATATGAATTATAAAATGTACAACAAAGCCCATCTTCAACAGAAATAGAATTTAAATATTGTAGCAGAATTAATATGATAAACCATTAAGTAACTAAGGATGGCTACTATATATGCATCTATGTATATATATATATATATATATATGTATACATACATATGTATACGTCTCTATCTCTCTCTCTCTCTATGATAACTCTGCTTTATTTATTTTTCTGAATGAAATTTAAATTATTATCATTGGGATTTATAGCAGAAAAAATACATCCTATTAACAAAAAATATAATATAATAATTATTTTTTAGCCAGCTAATATGCATGTGCCAAATTTGAGCATTTAATCACATCCCTATCACATTATGTGCATGATGTCGGTTGGCATATAATATAATATATATATATAAGAGTCTCAAATATCGATTTCTCATGCTCATCAAGGCCCCATGATGAGAGCCGGCTCTATGTGCCTAACTATTCGATAACCCCGCGCCACGGGGGATTGAACCCGTGACCAGAGGGGACTTACATTGAACCCCGCCAACCAACATACCACGGCTTGCGGCGCGCGCGCCCACACACACCACGAATCTCAAGACAGATGTACAACTGAGAAGAAAGAAACAGTTGATCGAATTTAGCTGTTAACAACTATTTCGGGCTGGATGATAGCCAAAGAGGTGTCTTATTTGGGCGATCAGCGGAACCTGCTAGGAGATTTTCAGCAGGGCAGTGACCCATGCCTATAATAGAGGGTTTATGATATGAATAAATGTTGCACTCTCTTTACTATTCCCTATGGTGCTCTCCCATCCTCTACTTAACGCCTATACCTTCGGTGTGCTCTCCTGACGCCTTGGGATTCAAAACACACACACACACACACACGAAAGAATTATAATAGTTAAATATATTATTGCAATTCAAATTTGCTACTTTATTTTCTCTTTTGATTATGTTCAATTTAGATTATATTTAGATATATAAACCAATACTAATTGTAACCATTGCAAAGTACCACATAGCCAGATTTAATAATTAATTATATGTTCTCTTATGGTAAATTTGTCATAAATTAAAAATCATCACAAATAAATATAGTACAAAAATGTTTTATATCATGTGTGATAATTTCAAAACTATTAATATAACTTAATAATGAGAGCCGAAATAATATAAAGGTCATATTAATTAGAGAGTAAACACCTACATATATCATTAAATATTATTATAAAACATTTATTATGCATTAGCAACTTTACCATAAAATCCAGTTGTTATCATTTATTTACAAATATGACTAATGCAAGTGTACATAAAAAAGATGGTTTGGCTAATCTTGTAGAGATCTAACACACCAGAAGAGAAGAATACAATGGAGACAGATCCCCTGTGAAAAGACCAGGGCCCACCAAGTCGGGCGAGCCAAGTCAACCCAAAGCCGACCGCGTCATGAGATGGCAAGAAAATAACTAAGCTATGTCGGTAAAAGTCATTCGTTCAGAAATGAGTTAGAAGGACATCCAAACTATCAACTACTAGAAAGATGACTCGATGCACAACTCTATCCCACAGTAGAGCCAACTCGACTGAGAGTCGTTTCCATAAAACCCCTTCAACTTTCCCGCAAAGGCCAAAATACTTATCGAAAATTGAACGTAGCCAACCATGTTGGATCAGCCAATCAAGCCCCACCGACCAAGCTTAATCGACCGAGCTAATTCAGTCGAGCCAAGCTAACTGATCTTAGCCGACCAAACTAGAAGGTGACCAGACGATGAGCCATCGATGATAAAATACCAAAAATATCCTAGTATAAACTCTCTCCCAACTTTAGGTATTTGCCAGTGAGAATATAATCATTAATAAATGTTTTTTAAAAAATATCGGTGTGTTGTATACATAAATGTAATACACATTAATTATTAAAATATTTCTCTTATTACACTTGCATATATGGAAGATTTACATAAATGCCACTGATGAATTCCCATGCATTTGCATATCTAACCCCAAAGCTGCAATTTTTACGTACATGTCACCTATGCATGCATGAAAATTAGGTGTATTTTCACTTTCTAAAATGATGGTATTTTTTACGTTACGTGAAAGATGTGAGTGGTACAAATGTGAAAGTAAAATTTTTTATTTATAAATACAAATAAGGGTGTAAACGAGTCAAACACGAGCGAGCCCAGACCCAGCTCGTGTTCGGCTCGTTTATATTTCGAGCTCAAAAGGTGTGTTCGTGTTCGGCTCGTAAAGGGAGCCGAACACGAGTCGTTCAGGAACAAAAAGTCATTTTGACAACCCTAATCGCGTAGTCATGTGATGTTAAGGATTGTGACAAGATTTAAAACATCATTTAAATCTAATTTAATAATTTGTATTCTATGTTCTTCATTCATACTTTTAATTGATATAAATCTTTATAGCCTTGTAGCCAATTAAATTTTAAAAAAATACTATTTATAAAAAATATGTATATAATTGATTAGTAGTATTTCGAGCCAATACGAGCCGAACATGAACGAACAAATATTTGTTTATGTTGTTCATGTTCAGCTCATTAACTTAGCGAATGAGTCGAACACGAGCTGTTCGCGAACAACGAGCCGTTTTGACAGAC